AACGGTACCAGTTAAAATAATATCAGTATTTTTTTAAATTTTCACCTTGTTTTTTATCAAAATAGACTACTAAACCTATGCCTAAAACCATCTACGAATATCAAAACCAGTTGCACCAAAAGAGTTCATACATATATATGTATGTACATACAAACTTATGCATGTGCGGAGTTTGCATAATCGGAAGTAATAAACAATCGCACTGCATTTCCTGTTACTATTCATATGCCTAAATGTATGCAACCATTTACAACAGCAAGTAAACACAGGGTGGTTATGATGAAATTAAAATTGATAAATACACATGCAAAACCCTTCGAAATTTTCTGCTGGGCTATGCGTTACAGCTTCGCTAATTTTACCCCTACCGAAGCCAAAGATGTATACACATCAAAAATATTCCGACGAACTGATAACCTCCTCCTTTTTTTGGAAGTCGGTTAAAAATAGAAAATAATTGGAGCTTAAATCTATCCAAACTTGCACTAAAATGGAGATCTTTATTATATCTGTTACATAGCCGAATTGATCTACTGATTGATACGTAGAACGCATAACTAGTTCTATGAACTGAGTCCACAAGTAACCTATTTCGCCTCAAATCTCGCGGTGGAATATAAAAATTGAATAAACTGGCTAACAATGGACAATTAATGTGCTCATTCATGACATTATATTCAAAAATAAGGGACGAACAAATTCTCCTTTCATGAAGAGTTTGGAGCCCCAGCAACTTACGTCTGGCAGTATATGATGCAAGGCCATTCTGCCAATTCAGTTTGCAAAAAGCTATTTTAGTGAACACTTTTTGAACCTTTTCGATTTTTGCTGAATGAGCAGTATTCAAGTCTACTTCTTACCAACGAAACATAGAGTGACTTCAAAGTCAAAGGATCTTTAAAGTCCTCAGAGTTTCTCCTTATGAAACCAATCAAATGATTTGGCAATAATAAAGTCAAGTGCTTAGAGAAGGAGAGTTTCGAGGAAAAGTAAACACCTAAATCCTTCACCTCAAAGGTGCGGAATAAATCAGTCATTCTAATTGTAACTAAATTGAATGGTGTTATTAATTCTTGAATATGTTACAGTAAATCATTTATTCCCGTTTAAAAACAAGGTATTCATGGTGCACCATTCTTCAAAACTATTCAGATCACGTTGTAGTTAAGCACAATCCGACAGGTCTCGTACTCTAAGAAATAATTTTACATCATCAGCGAACATTAAACAATTAGCGAATTTAAATTGATACGGAAAGTCATTTATGAATATAAGAAACAAGAGAGGTCCACAATGAGTCCCTTGTGGGATTCCTGACCAGGCATTAACAAGCCAACTTTATTTCGTAGACCCAGTTGTAATAACAAGCTTCCTTGCACGTAAAAAGCAAGTTAAAAACTTTAAAAGTGTACCAGTGATACCGTAGGGCTGCAATTTATGCACTAACAATGAGTGATTGACTTTGTCAAATGCCTTAGAGCAATCTGTGTAAATTACATCAAGCTGAGACCGATTTTCAAAAGCTTGAACTACCTCATTTGTTACTAAAGCTAGAGTAGTACACGTTGATCTACCAGGATAAAATCCGTGTCGGCAATCCACAATAGCACTGCTTAAATGGTCAAATAACTTTTGATAGAGTATGAAATCAAATAGTTTAGCCATGGTGCTCTGCTTAACAACTGGGCTGTAATTACATATGTCATTACGGTCACCCGATTTGAATATAGGGACTATTGAGCATAATTTCCAAGGCTCAAGAAAAGATCCACTTTTTTAGCATTTATGGAAAAGCAGTGCAATAGGAGAAAATCCTTCAGTATCTACCTTAGGGCTTGAATTCAAATTCGAAATTGCGAGATGAACGCCATTTGCAGAGATTTCAAAAGAACTAATTGTTGGTAATTCAGAATGGGTAAAGTTGGGAAACGTAGAAGTATTTTGTTTTGTGTAAACCTTCTGAAAAAGTTGATCGAAAAGGTTGCAAGTATCTCCGTATTATCAGACATTAAACCATCATATTCCATTAGTTTGCCTCTTTGAATTTATGAAAAACCAAAATTTAGAAGGATTTGACTCCAAGTCCGACTCCTTTTCGAACATATATTGCTTAAATAGAAACTTGTGGAGAGAGTCGAACTCTTTTCCCAGAAAAATAAATTTCTGTCGATCATCTTCATTATTACTATTTCTCAGCTTTTTATATGCTTTATTTTTAACATTTTTTAAATGGGAAATCTTTGGATCGAACCACGGAGGTTTTCTATTTATAATGATTTGCCTACACGGAACATAATTAGAGATGGATTGGAGAAACCATTGACGCATAATATCGTAATGATCTTCCAGTCTACCTAAAGACTCAAAAAATGACCAATCAATGTCAAACAAAAATTTATTCATTGCAGAAAAGTCTGCCCGAAAGTAATTATATTCCACTACGGACTTAAGAGGCTTCTTTTCAAAATTATAAAAATCAAAATTAACATCTAGAGCTTTATGATGTAAACTATTATCTAAAATAGGCGCTGGTCTTTCAAAGCATGATATTTAATGTTCTTCATCAGATCTAAAAACCTACCATTAGTCGATATAACTCATTCATCTATTTCAGACTTGATATTCGTAAGAAATATGTTATTATAGACCACGGATTTTGTCCTGGTAGATCAACGTGTACTAATCTAGCTTTAGTAACAAATGAGGTAGTTCAAGGTTTTGAAAATCGGTCTCAGCTTGATGTAATATTACACAGAATGCTCTAAGGCATTTGACAAAGTCAATCACTCATTGTGCGAAAACATTGTCGATATAACTAATTCATCTACATATTTCAGACTTGATATTCGTAAGCAATATGTTGTTACTATGACTCTGCCAAGAAATGCTACTTAAATTAAAATCTCCTAGGAAAATAATCTCATCAGACGGTTTAGCATTGTTAATTACATCTACAAGATTATCTAAATGACTTTGATAAACAGCAATATCACTATTTGGCGGAATATACGATATTAAAAACAAAATAGTTTTATTGTTAGTAAACTTAACACTAACACACTACCAACACCATTCAGATTAACAGCTTTGCTGCAAAAATCCGTTCTGACTGCAATTAAGCAGCGATCTTTACGATAAACATAATAGTCGTCGTCGTAAAATTCATTCAAAGAAAAATTTCCATTTAATCAAGTTTCAGTTATAGCCAAGGCGAATTTATATAAGGTGGTGTTACTAGTTCAGCTGATTTTGTGTATGTGTTTCGCCGCACGGCTTCTGATATCAATTTGAAAAATTTTGTTTGAATTTGTACACACACTATTACAGATTTTGACAGTTTATGCCGCCAAAGCAAACACAAAATACATGTAAATTTTTGTTTTTGTACTCCTGCTATATCCTTATATTAATTCGCCTTGGTTATAGCTGTAACATCGAAATCATGTGATAAAACATTGGGATGAAACTGTGAGGATTTCGTACGCATTCCACTCGCATTGTGATGATGTAAAGAATAGTTTGGAGGTGAGGGGCAAAATGGTTTGGCAGATTCATTCACGTTATTGATTCTGCAGCGTTGGTGTTTTGAAAAAAATTGTAATGGGCGCACCTTAACGTTTACTGGCCAGAACGCAGTTTATTATAGTCTGATAAAGAGACACCCAACTTGAAATTAACTCTTACCAATTTCTTCAAAGAGTCAGCAGGAAGGTCTTTTTTAATAAGCTTATAGCAAGCGTTGCTGTTAGAATCAATCGATGCATGTTTGGCGACAAAATTCATGATATCGTTTTCGTTGACAGAGGGCTTAAAAGACAAATGCAACCATTTGAGCGGAAAAACAACATCCAATTCTTTACTGGGACTACTACCAACAACTCTGGCCCTCTTTTTATTGTCTTTCAGTACACCAGCACCAGAAGTTTTGTCGTTAGAAAGTGCATTAGTATAGTTATTATTTTTCTTAGCAGCAGCAGATCCGAGAGCGCTCGTAGTTCCAGTATTACTAGCAACAACAGTATCAGCAACAAAAGCATTGACTGTATTAGTATTAGCAGATATTTGCTTTTTATTACTTTTAGCAGTGACGATAGAACCAGAAACAGCATTCGCACACGATAATGGCGTCGTATCAATTACAATTATCAATTTTACTGATAATTTTATATATTAAAAGAATTAAAAATTAGTATGAATAAAAAAATTAAATCAGCAAAATGATTAAAATTAAGTGAAATTAATGTTTAATTTCTAACCTAGCCTACATGTGTATGTATGTAACTCAATCGCCTAACAATAGCTTTACATATAAAAGGATTATCCTCATTTTCGAGCTTAACTCCCTAATATGTAATTAGAAAAGGAGATTAGCCATACAAAATTATAATCTATATATATAAAAAAGGATGTATGTATGTATGTATGTATGTATCTATGCAGCTTATAGACTCCGAAACCATTCAGCCGATTTTGTTAAAATTTCCAGGATAGCTTCATAGAAACTCGGAGAGTGTTCCTGTGAAGTTTGGCTATTTTTGAAAGATTTGCCACCTGTCAGAAAAATAAAATTTATTTAAATATGCAAGTAAAGTAAGTATAGATATCAAATGGAAGGTATTTGAGAAAGATATTTAAGAAAATTTACATCAAAAAATATTTTAATAAGTGTTGGCACCTGGTCAAAAAGTTAAAAATAATGAATATCTAATGCAATTCACATCAAATATTGCAATATGGGTATCAAACGGAAGGTATTGGAGAAAGATTCACGCCAAACATATTTTTGAGTAGAGTTGCCACCTCTTTCAAAAAAACTTAAATGACATAAATGTGTGTATTAAAAAGTATTTCGCAGGATACGTATCAAACGGGAGCTATTGGGAAATGTTTCAGTTAAGACCAATTATCGTATAGAGTGTCCACATACTTAAGAAAATAAAATCGGATCATATTTTTAAGAAATACCAAAGATTTAGAGTGTGATAAACTTCAAAGTCTGTCAAACCGAAAGCTTACCAGAAAGAAAATGCCGAATCCAAATTTTTAAATCTATATGTGAACATATGTATGTATGTTAATGCCAGAGTTGTGTAAATTTTCACCAGGTTGCAATTTAAAAACGGAATTTGTTTAATAGTTAAAAACCAAAAAAGTACTCAATATTAATGCATAACTTTTGTTTCTTATTGAATAAGGCTTAAAAAAATATAATAAAATTTGCAATAAAAAATGTTGTAATATTTTTTCCTAATGCGCATACGAGATTTTGCTTGCATAATTTTCCTAAATTTGGGTGTATAAATTTTGGTATTTTTCCACAACATTCATGAAGAGAATACCTACATAGAAAACACTTTGTTACCTAAGTTCACATAAATAAAGGGTTTAAAAATTTCAAATTATTTGGGAGGAAAGTACCTGCAGAATTATAGCATTCGTTTTTATTTTACGGTTGAAGGTAGTTAAATATTGTTTACAAGAGTATATTTTGTTTCCCAAGTTTACCTAAACAATGGCTTCATAAATCTTGGGATTTTTCCACAACATTCTTGAAGAAAATACCTACGTACAAAGAAATTTTTCTGTATACACTAATTCAGATAAATAAGAGGTTGCGAAAGTCTACCGATTTTTTTTAAATTTATTGCAGGAAAAGTACCTGCAGAGAATATCTTCTGCTGTTTGCACACGTTTTAGCATAGATAAAATATAAGGATTTTTAATCTTTTTAAGTGGAAGGTACCTTCAGAGAACATATTTATATTGTTTGCCTGAGTTACATAAATATAAGGTCGCGTAGGTAATACATTTGCTCATAGCAAGTGTAGACACTGCGCAAACGATAGTGAATTCTTTTTCATCTGAGATCAGTTCAACATACAGAGTATTATTATTTACATTCACAAAAAAATAAAATCATGCCACCAAAGAAAGCATCAATTGGAAGAAAAAACCCCAAAACAAAAAAGTCGAATGAATACAGAGCGGCGGAAACGGAAGATCAACGAAATGTCCGACTTCAACAAAATCGAAACAGAGAGACAAGCTCGAGAAATGTGGAAACGGAAAACCAGCGGGAATCTCGCCTCCAGCAAAATCGTGTGAGAGCTTCAACCTCCAGAGACGCTGAAACCCTGGAACAACGAGAATCTCGCCTCCAGCAAAATCGTGTGAGAGCTTCAACCTCCAGAGACGCTGAAACCCTGGAACAACGAGAATCTCGCCTACAACAAAATCGTGTGAGAGCTTCAACCTCCAGAGACGCTGAAACCCTGGAACAACGAGAATCTCGCCTCCAGCAAAATCGTGTGAGAGCTTCAACCTCCAGGGACGCTGAAACCCTGGAACAACGAGAATCTCGCCTACAACAAAATTGTGTGAGAGCTTCAACCTCCAGAGATTCTGAAAATCCCGAACAACGCAACGAACGGCTTCGCACTAATCTATCACGATTGACCCATTCAAGAGAAAGAACACATTTAATGTTGGCGGCATACAATTATGACAAAAACAGAGACTACGAAAATCATGCAGATGTCGCCATTGGACCGATGAATAAAGTTTGTTTGCATTGCCATGCTTTGAAGTTTGCAAAGGAATCACCAGGAATGTGTTGTTCAAATGGTAAAATAGTTTTGCCATCGTTAATTGAGGCACCTGAACCACTACTTAGTTACCTTTCTGGCACAACTCCTATTTCAAACCACTTTTTGAAAAGTATACGCAAGTACAACTCTTGCTTTCAAATGACTTCGTTTGGAGCAATGAAAATTATATCTGAAGGCGGTTACATGCCAACATTCAAAGTTCAAGGCCAAATATACCACAAAATCGGTTCATTGCTCGCAGTGCCACAACAAGATGCGAAATTTCTGCAAATTTATTTCACTGGAAATGATGCACTGGAAGTAGACAAGCGTTGCGCAATTAGTTCTGGGATCCGACGCGAGATCATTTCAAGCTTGCAGGCAATGTTCCATGAACAAAACAATTTGATTCGCCTTTTTAAAACAGCTCTGGATAAAATGCCAACAGATGACTATAGTGTTGTTATTAGAGCAGACAAAGCTCCTGCTGGTGAACATGAAAGGCGCTTCAATGCTCCAGTAACAGGGGATGTTGCAATTGTAATAGTTGGCACCGAATTCGATCGACGCGTCGAACATCATTATCCACCGGCGAAATGCTAATGTGCAGAGAGTATCGGAAACACATCGATCGTATGATGCACTCCAAAATCCAGTGCTGTTTCCCCATGGAGAAGAAGGATATCATTTCAACATCAGGCAAGTCGACCCCAGCACAAGTGAAGCGATGACAAAGAAAGTGTCCTGCATGGATTATTATGCAAACCGCATTATTATTCGTGGAAATGAATCCAATCATATCTTAAAATGTCGTGAATTATTCCAACAGTTTAGTGTGGACATGTACGCGAAAGTCGAAAGTGAACGTCTTCTTTTCATTCGCTTAAATCAAAAGAAGCTGCGCGTTGAAGAATACGTTAATTTACGTGATGCAGTTGCTAATGATGGAAACATTGCTGACATTGGACAAATGGTAATTTTACCTTACCTGTAACATATACAGGAAGCCCGCGGCACATGCACGAATACGGGCAAGATGCTATGACGTACGTTCGAAAGTATGGACGACCAGACCTATTCATCACCTTCACTTGCAATCCATCGTGGAGTGAAATAACCGAATTGCTTTTTGCAGGCCAGAGCTCATCGCACAGACATGATCTTCTCGCTCGAATAGTCAGGCAAAAGCTAATAAGTCTTATGAATGTCATCACGAAGAATTTTGTTTTTGGAGAAACCAGATGCTGGATGTACTTAATTGAATGGCAAAAGAGAGGCTTACCACACGCTCATTTGGTTGAAGCAAAAAATTATACCTACACAAATTGATAGCGTTATATCAGACGAGCTTCCAAATTAAGCCGAAGATCCCATTCTTTTTGAAATAATCAAGAAAAATATGATTCATGGGCCATGCGGTACTTTTAATCCTAATTCACCATGTATGCAAAAGGCAAATGCCGAAAGCGATATCCACGTGAGTTGATTACTGAAACTCAAACTGGAGGTGATGGATATCCTCTGTATAGGCGAAGAAATCCCACTAATGGTGGATACACAACTACTATTAAGATGCGAAGTGTAGATATCGACATAGACAATAGATGGATCGTGCCATACTCGCCACTACTTTCAAAAATGTTTAATGCTCACATCAATGTTGAGTATTGTAATTCGGTAAAGTCCATAAAATATATTTGTAAATATGTTAACAAGGGCAGCGACATGTCAGTATTCGGAATAGCAAATCGAGGTGATGAGATCACGCAATATCAAACAGGGTGCTTCATCAGCAGTAACGAAGCAGTATGGCGGATATTTGCATTCAATATTCACGAACGATATCCAACGGTTCAACATCTCGCTGTTCATTTGGAAAATGGTCAGCGGGTTTACTTCACCGAAGAAAATGCGCAAAATAGAGCAGAGCAACCACAAAACACAACACTGACTGCTTTTTTCGAATTGTGTACATCCGAAAATTTTGCTAAAACGTTGCTGTATCAAGATGTGCCCAAATATTATACTTGGAACACATCGACAAAAAAGTTCAACAGAAGAAAAAGAGGTGCAATTGTTCCAGAGCATCCTGGTATATATTCGTCCGATGCATTGGGACGTGTGTATACTGTTCATTCAAATAACGCTGAGTGCTATTATTTGCGGTTGTTGCTGCATACAATCAAAGGGCCGACATCATTCCTTGCATTGAAAACCATCGACGGAGTAGAATGCCAAACGTACAGAGAAGCGTGCTTTAAACTGGGCTTACTTGAGAATGATCAGAATTGGAACACAACTCTGACCGAAGCATCACTCACGTGCCATCCAAAGCAAATACGAACTTTGTTTGCGATAATTTTAACAACATGCGCACCATCGAATCCTCGACAACTGTGGGAAATGCATCGTGAAAGCCTCAGTGAAGATATTCTAAGACAAGCACGTGCAAGCGATCCAAGTCAGGAATATTCGGATGACATTTTCAATGAAGCTTTAATAGTAATGANGAATGATCAGAATTGGAACACAACTCTGACCGAAGCATCACTCACGTGCCATCCAAAGCAAATACGAACTTTGTTTGCGATAATTTTAACAACATGCGCACCATCGAATCCTCGACAACTGTGGGAAATGCATCGTGAAAGCCTCAGTGAAGATATTCTAAGACAAGCACGTGCAAGCGATTCAAGTCAGGAATATTCGGATGACATTTTCAATGAAGCTTTAATATTAATGGAGGACTTATGCATGTCAATCAACAACAAAGCTCTTTGTCAACTCGGTATGCCAGCACCGACACGAGATAGAAATGCTGTACAAGACAGAGACTTGATGCATCGTGGAAAAGACCAATCGATGGGAGGCGCTCTTATACTTCTTGCAGGTGATTTTCGTCAAACATTACCCGTTATACCACGATCAACGCCTGCAGACGAGTTGAACGCGTGCTTAAAGGCATCGCATCTGTGGAACTATGTCGAAAAAATTACGCTCACTACAAATATGCGAGTGCATTTGCTGCAAGATACGTCTGCCCAAATATTTTCAAAGCAACTTTTAGATATCGGAAAGGGTAAAGTTCATATTGATCGCACAACAAATGAGATATCATTTCCGTCCAACTTTTGTCAAATGCAGCAGAGCATTCAAGACGTCATCGACAGAGTATTTCCGAACTTAATGATCAACTACCGAATTCCGGAATGGCTCCGCGAACGTGCAATTTTAGCTCCGAAGAACGATGATGTTAGTAAATTAAACGGTCAAATTCAATTGAAAATTCCAGGAGAAGCA